CCCCCCACACCCCCCCCCACACACACACACACACACACACACACTAATCTTTGATGAATGAGTCGACTCACAGAAACAAGTTTCTTCACTTCAGGATTTAACAAATATATTTTGTGTAGAAATGCGACTGAAAGCTCCAGAAAGAGACGAAGTTGAGCAAGTTGAGAATAATAAGTAATACTAAGTCGGTTTGGTTTATTTTAAGTGAAGTTGGTCAGTAGGTTGGTTCAATAACTTGGGTCAGAGTGAGACATCTGAACAAAACGCTGGTCATCTTTAATTCAACAACACACAGGAAACTGCATCATATGAAGAAGATCATGCAATATGGCCCAAAAGCTCAAGAACAGCTACTAAATGGACCTGAAATCAAAGCTGGTGAGATGGACATGAAATGAGCTGCTCAGAGGATGGAGCTCTGCTTCCTGCTCCTCAGAGGATGAACCTTTAGGTTTCATTGACCCGTACGTGTTTATCACGTGTTGTTGCCAAACATACCCAAAAACACGAGATGTTTGAACTAAAATGTCCCCGATTGGCTGGCACTCGGTAAGAATATCAGGGTAAAGCCAATCAGATGAGGGCGAGTCATGTGACCAATGTGTCATGCGACAACAAACTGACAAACTGACTGCAGTTTTCTACTTTTTCACAAAACTCAAAACCTGAAACTCAAAGGATCAAAAATGTTTCTGTTGTGTTTGTTTCTCAACATAAAGTTTTCAGCCAACGACCCCTCGTTGGTTTGGAGAGGCCTGGAAGTACTCACCAACTACAAGAGACCATCCCCCCCACTGAGGCCAATCACCAACTGGCTGACGACCTGAATGTGTTTTACTGCAGGTTTGATAAGCCTACTCTCACACCCCCCACCTGCCCCATCATCATCAAACAACCACCTACACCCCCTGCCTCCTCCTCATCTCTCACAACCGACTCCCCACCGGCACTGAGGATCTGTGAGGAGGATGTGAGTCGACTCTTCCACAGACAGAAGATCATGAAGGCACCAGGCCCAGACGGTGTGTCACCCTCGTGCCTGAAAGTCTGTGCTGACCAGCTGGCCCCCATCTTCACACAGATCTTCAACCGATCACTGGAGCTGTGTGAAGTACCCTCCTGCTTCAAACGCTCCACGATCATCCCGGTCCCCAAGAAATCCTCCATCACAGGATTAAACGACTACAGGCCTGTCGCCCTGACGTCTGTGGTCATGAAATCCTTTGAGAAACTGGTGTTGACCCACCTGAAGGACATCACAGGGCCCCTGCTGGACCCCCTACAGTTTGCCTACTGGATAAGGATAAGGAGAAGGATGTTTATTGTCATTGTACGAACATACAACGAAATTAAGTTGGCGACTCATCAGTACAGCAGCAACAGTTAAAAAGTGTATAAAAACATTAAGACAAGACGATTTAAAAAAAGACATTAAATAAATATATACAAGATAAAACAAGATAAAGCACAGGCATCAATGGCTTCAAAGTGAAAAATGTGCTTAGTTAAAGTGTCGTGTTATTGACTATGTTTGTTTCACCGCAGCACTGTCCGGTGTGAGCTGGGTGGGGTGGTGGGTGGCGGTGGGGGTGTGATGGAGGAAACCGCTCTGGGGAAGAAGCTGTTCCTCGGCCTGTTGGTCCGGGTTTTGATGGTCCTGTATCTCCTTCCTGATGGTAGTGGAACAAACAGAGAGTGACCCGGGTGTGTGATGTCTGTACAGATGTTTCTGGCCTTCTTCTGGAGGCGGCCAGCATACACAGTGTCCAGGACAGGCAGGGTAACTCCCACAATCCTCTGTGCTGTTTTAACCACCCGGGCCAGGTCCCTCCTGTTCTCTGCTGTGCAGCTGGCATACCACACAGTAAAGCACTGACAGGATGCTTTCAATGACACTTCTGTAGAAGTTAACCAGAAGTGCAGGGGGCAGGCCAGCTTGTTTGAGCTTCCTCAGAAAGAAGAGCCTCTGCTGGGCTTTCTTCACCAGGTGTGATGTGTTCAGGGACCAAGTGAGGTCTTTAGTAATGTGGACCCCCAGGAAATTGATACTGTTCACCCTCTCCACCTCCTCCCCACTTATGTAGAGTGGAGAGGGTGTGGTCTTCCTGGATCTCCTGAAGTCCACTATGACTTCTTTGGTCTTGGTGGTGTTCAGGACCAAGTTGTTGTCCGAGCACCACTCAGCCAGATGTTGGACCTCCTGTCTGTAGTGTGTCTCGTCGTCGTTGGAGATGAGTCCCACCACAGTGGTGTTGTCAGCAAACTTCACTATTGTGTTGGAGGAATATGTGGCGGAGCAGTCCTGGGTGAAGAGAGTGAAGAGGGCCGGGCTGAGTACACAGCCCTGCGGTGCACCAGTGTTCAGGATGGTGGTTGTTGATGTCAGGTTCCCTATCCTGACATTCTGTGGTCTGTTTGAGAGAAAGTCCAGAATCCATGAACAGAGTGATGTAGAAAGTCCAAGGTTTTTGAGTCTATGCACCAGTTTATGGGGGATGATGGTGTTGAAGGCAGAGCTGAAGTCAATGAAGAGCATCCTGACGTATGTGTTAGGGTGCTCCAGGCGAGACAGGGCCGTATGAAGTGTGATGGAGACCGCGTCCTCCGTAGACCTGTTTGCTCGGTACGCAAACTGGTGGCTATCCAGGTCTGCTGGGAGGACGTCCTTGATGTGCGATAGTATCATCCTCTCGAAGCACTTTGTGATGACTGGGGTCAGGGCGACTGGGCGGTAGTCGTTGAGGCAGGTGACTGGGGTCTTTTTTGGGGCAGGGACAATGGTGGTGGCTTTGAGGCAGGTGGGGACTGCAGCTTATTGCAGGGAGAGGTTGAAGATGTTAGTGAACACCTGTGCTAGCTGGTCGGCACAGGTCTTCAGTGTGCGGCCAGACACTTTGTCTGGTCCCGCTGCCTTGGTGATGTCGATCCTCCTCAGAGCGGACCTCACCTGGTGGTGCTGGAGGAAGAGTGTCTGCTCCTCCTTGGGCTGGGTCTTCTCAGCTGTTGCTCCACTGTGCTGTCTGTCAAAGCGGGCAAAGAAGCGGTTCAGGGTGTCGGGGAGTTCACTGTCCTGACTGATCTGTGTGGTGCTGTTCTTGTAGCCAGTCAGGGTTATAATACCTCTCCACATGCTCTGGGGGTCGTTGTTCTCGAAGTGTCCCTCAATGCGCTGTTTGTATCTGCACTTGGCCTCTCTGATGCCCTTCTTCAGGTCCCTCCGGGCACTTTTATAGGCCGGTATGTCACCAGACCTGAAGGCAGCGTCTCTTGCTCCAAGCAGTAACCGCACGTTTCTGTCCAGCCAAGGTTTTTGATTTTTTTTTACATTACATTACAGTCATTTAGCAGACGCTTTTATCCAAAGCGACTTACAATTCAGAGTCTATCACAGCTACGGGAGCAATTTTGGGGTTAAGTGTCTTGCTCAAGGACACATCGACATGCGACTAGCGGAGCCGGAGTTCGAACCGCCGACCCTCTGATTGAAAGACGGCCCTGCTATCCACTTAGCCACAATCGCCACAATTGGGAACACTTTGATGGTTTTGGTGGTTGTTACTGTCTCAGTGCAAAAGTGTAGGTAGGCCAGGACAGCCAAGGTGTACTCCTCCAGGTCAGCTCCCTGTTCCAACACTTCCCAGTCCGTGCTTTCAAAGCAGTCCTGCAGAAGTGAAGCGGTGTCGATGCTCCATACTTGCAAACAGGTTGGTGGATGATGCAGTCAACATGGGACTGCACTACACGCTGCAACACCTCGACTCCCCAGGGTCATATGCAAGGGTTTCTGTTTGTGGAATTCAGCTCTGCGTTCAACACCATCATCCCAGCAATACTCCAACCCAAACTCTCCCAGCTCACTGTGCAGCCTCCACCTGTCAGTGGATCACAAACTTCCTGACTGACAGGACGCAGCAGGTGAGGCTGGGAAAAATCACATCCAGCACCCGGACTATCAGCACTGGCGCCCCCCAGGGGTGTGTGCTCTCCCCTCTGCTCTTCTCCCTCTACACCAACGACTGCACCTCAAAGGACCTGTCTGTTAAACTCCTGAAGTTCGCAGACGACACAACGGTCATCGGCCTCATCAGGGATGGTGATGAGTCTGCGTACAGACGGGAGGTTGAACAGCTGGTCCTCTGGTGTGGTCAGAACAACCTGGAGCTGAACAAGCTCAAAACTGTGGAGATGATAGTGGACTTCAGGAGGAGCCCCCCAACACTGCCCCCCCTCACCATACTCAACAACACTGTGTCTGCTGTGAAGAACCTTCAAGTTTCTGAGATCCACAATCTCCCAGGACCTGAAGGGGGCCCACAACATCAACACCATCCGGAAAAAGGCCCAGCAGAGGTTGTACTTCTTGTGCCAGCTCAGGAAGTACAACCTGAGCTGCTGATCCTGTTTTACTCAGCCATCATCCAGTCTGTTCTCTGCTCCTCTATCACTATGTGGTTCGGATCGGCCAGCCAACAGGACAGAAACAGACAACAACGGATTGTCAGGTCTGCAGAGAGGATCGTTGATTCCAGCCTGCCTTCCATCCTGGACTTGTTCACCTCCAGAGTCAGGAAACGGGCTGGAAAGATCACTGCAGACCCTTCACACCCTGGACACAAGCTGTTCCAACTCCTCCCCTCTGGTAGGGGCTACAGAGCTCTGTACGCCAAAACCACCAGACACAGGAACAGCTTCTTTCCACTGGCCGTCACTCTCATGAACAATAAATAAGTAACATTGCACTACTACCTCTGTTTGCACTATTGTATCATATATATACACACACACATATATACATATA